ACCATAGCCAAGATGACTGACTTGGGAAAGAGGTCAATGTTACTGTGTTTTACCACCCACACTTTTTTCTTCCTAATGAAATATATATAAAAAAATAATATAAAGTCCTCCCTACCTAGAACTAAAGGAAAACCAAAACGTTATCATAAAAACAAATGCAACATAAAGCCAACACTGATATTCAGTTGAGCTTCCTCACATAATTGCAAATACTGAAAATCTTTACGAAAGCAAACTGCCATCTCTCTCTCTCCAGTTAAATGACTAGTAAGTTTTTCAACCATTGGTCTATCAGTTAACAACTGGGTATTTACCAACTCTGTTCCCAGAACTCTAAAAACAGCAATAAAAAATTGTTTTGGACTCTTTTTTTTTTTCACTTATCAGGACTTTACACCATTGCAAATGTATGTCCACTAAAACGAAAAAAAGTCTATTTTATGGCATTAATATTATCTCTTGTTGCTATGCATATATGCCTGTGTGCGTGAAAGAGAGAAATAAAACTTCAAAACAAAACTGTACTCTTTGATAAGAGAAATGTCTTCATTTTTATATCTGTGATTTGTGTATGGAACCACTTTTGAAATCAAGGGATTCCATAAAGGAAACTTCTTGGTGGAATAATTTACATTTCAAATTCAAATAGCCACACATTTTATAAGTCACCTAAATCCTCAATATATTCAATAACATCATAATGAAACTTTTATTCTTTCTTCTCAGAAAATAAATTCTCAGTTCCTTCTTGGAATGTTCTCTCATTTCCAGATCTCAACTCCACATTCACCATGACTTCACTTCTTATTGCTCACCAATTAACACATGAATGTTTACTAAGATAAACCTTTCCTCTCTCTTTTTTATTAGTTTTAATGAAAATTTACAGAGACTTTGGATATCAATTGTTACATTGGTGCACTTTTCTCCACCCCTCCCCCATCCAGTACTCTTCTCTTTGAAAAGTAAAAGAAAATTTCCCCCATTGTTTTACATTCCCTCCCCTCGGGTCCACTCCACTATGCAGCCTTCCTTCTGGACTCTTGTCATGACAATAATACCTAATCACATATCCCTTTTAAACAGTTTTCTCCCTCATCTGTTTCAATGCAGTATACATTATCTCATCTTTCTCAGTTTCCCCCCAACCCCGATGTCAGTCCTGTTTTACAACAGTGGCACTATGCAGTATTTGTCCCTCTGTGACTGAGATATTTCATTCAGCATAGCGTCCTCCAGGGTCACCCATTTTGAATAATATTGCATGAGTTCTTTGTTTTTCAATGAAGCATAGTATTCCATTGTGTGAATATACCACAGCTTCTCTATCCATTCGTTTGTTGATGGGCACTTGGGTTGTTTCCAAGTCCTTGCTATCATGAATAAAGTCACGATAAACATGGTGTGCATGTATCTTCTTGGGTGGCAGTTGTGGTCTCTTTGGGGTGTATTCCCAGTAGTGGAATTGTTGGGTCAAATGGTATTCCTATTTGCAACTTTTTGAGAAAGCACCACACTGCCTTCTACATTGTTTGCACCATTTTACACTTCCACCAACAGTGAATAAGGGTTCCAGTCTCTCCACAACCTCGCCAGCATTTGTTGCTTGCTGTTCTGTTAAATTTTGCTATTCTTACTGGGGTGATATGATACCTCATAGTTGTTTTGTCCTCTGTCTTTTTTAACCAACTCCATTTTACTATCTTCTCAAGCTTGCTATAGGCATCCAATCTTGAATCCACAGACTCTGTTTCTTGCCTAGTTTCTCAGACATGATATTTCCTCTCCTTTTCTATTGCCCAATTTGTCCAAATCAAAAGGGCTCAGGTAATTTCAGTTAATATCTTCAGGATGTTTGAGAAATTTATATTATTTGAGAAAGTTATGTTGAGATTAAGTGATTGTTGGTTTGGTTTTTTTGGTTTTTTTTTCATTTATGAATTGATGGTTTCTGTAACTACCAATCCTTAGCATCCCTTTAACACAGCCCTAATCCTCTGGGTGACTCTCCTCACAGCCTCTTTCACCTCCTTGTTACGAAGGGTGTAGATAATAGGGTTGAGGAAGGGGGTAAACAGAGAGTACACCAAGGTAAGATGCTTGTCCATGCCTTCAGCTCGGATCCCAGGTGGCCCCACATAAACAATGAAAGCTGAGCCAAAGAAGAGTGTCACTACAGTTATATGAGAGGAGCAGGTGGAGAAAGCCTTGGCACGGCTGGAAGCTGAGGGAAGCTTCACCACAGCCCTCAGGATGCCCCCATAGAGACTCAAGATGACCACAAGATTGCATGCATTGATCAGTCCAATCACTACAATATGGACCCGAGCATGCCAACTTGTGTCAATACATGCCAGTTGCATCAGTGGTGCCAAATCACAAAAGTAGTGAGCCACCTCCTTGAAACAGAAGGGAAGAGTGGCTGTGAGGCTGGCTGGCACAACTGCTGCTGAGAAACCAGCCACCCAACTGGCCCCTGCTAGCCTTACCTGTACCTTTCTGCTCATGAGCGCATGGTAGTGGAGTGGGCGGCAGATGGCCAGGTAGCGGTCCAGTGCCATGACACCCAGCAGGTAGCACTCAGTCATGCCCAAGGAGTGGAAGACATACAACTGGATGAAGCAGACAGCAGATGGTATGATGGAAAGTCCATGGAGCAAAGTATGCAATAATGTGATCACCGTGGTGCTGACATACCAGAGCTCCAAGAAGGAAAGGACACTGATGAAGAAGTACATGGGTGTGGACAGTCCAGAATCGGCTTGAACCAGCACAATGATGAACAGGTTTCCTGCCAGTGTGAGGAGATAGAAACCTAGGGTCCCCATGAAGGCAAGAGCTTGTAATGTCCCAGTGGTAGTGAAACCAGAAAGGATGAAATGTTGGGTCCAAGTGTAGTTGGCATGATCCAGCATTTCTAGAAAGAAAGGATAAAGAGATTTACTGCTTCAGGCTTCTTTCTGGTTTGAAAAATTTCCCAAGAGCAAATGTGTAGAAAATATGAGCTTCAAAGTCCTTTTACACATTGTCTTACTGTGATAATGCAGCTGTAAAAGAAATGTCCTAAGTGGTTCATTTTTAGCACAGAGCAATTTCTTAGAAACTGGAGATTTCCACCAGGGGTGCTGGTTTTAGTGGAAAGATTTGTTTCTCCATCATATCTGGAGCGATAGCTTCTTGTTTGCCAAAGTTGTCACCACTGAGAGATTTTCATGTAGTTTGGCATCTCCCTTAATCTATCTTTGTAGTTTGCTTTTTATATCTTTTGTATTTCAAAAGAGATTCACTCAAAATATGCACATTTTCATGGTTAGATCAAGGGGGATGAAAGAAATGGGAAGAATCTGGCAGGGATCTGAAAAGATTAGGTAATGATGGGCAGGGTCCAATGGTAATTTATAAAACATAATGCATGGGAATGATTGTGTGAAACAACAACATCAAAAAATATTTAGGTGGTGAAAAGAAGCAGAAAAGGAGCTGGAGATAGAATGTTAGAATTGTGCACAAATACTTATTCATTGCAAATATATTTTATAAGAAACATAAATGCAGGATATACACATGGATTTCATCTAATGGTATGCATAGGAATCAGAGCTATAACATCTGTTGAAAAAAATTGCTGAAGAAGCTCAATATCAATGTGAAAACTAGGCTGATTTGAACAGACCATCAACCTCTCATATTCAAGTTAAAGCTGAAGCTAAGGAAAATTATATCAAATTCATGGGAACCAACATTTGACCTTGAGTTTATCCCACCTGAATTTCAAAACCATCTCAGGAATATGTTTGAGACCTTGAACACTAATGAACGAAGATAGGACTAGCAGTGGGAGGATATCAAGAATATCATGCAGGAAGAATGCAAAAGTTCATTACAAAGACAGAGGAGGAAGAAAAGATCGAGATGGATGTCAGAAGAGACTCTGAATATTGCACCAGAACAATGAGAAGTCAAAGTAAAGGGAAGAAATCAAGATATGAAGGAGCTGAGCAGAAGATTTCAAAGGGCAGCACAGGAAGAAAAAGTAAGGTATTATAATGAAATGTGCAAAGAGCTGGAGTCAGAAAATCAAAGGGGCTGAACTAGCTTGGCATTTCTTAAGCTGAAGGAACTGATGAACAAATTCAAGCCTCTAGTTGCAATATTTAAGGATGTGTTAGATAGAACATTAAATGATCCAGGAAGCATTAAAAGAAGATAGAAAATGTATACAGAGTCTTTATACCAAAAGGAATTGACAGACACAGAAGAATTTCAGGAAACATTGTTATGAGCAAGAGCCAGTGGTGATGAAGGAAGAAGTTTCTCTAAAAGAATTGACAAAAAACAAGACCCCAGGAATTGATAGAATACCAATTGACATATTTCAACAAACACACTGTACCTTAGATGTGCTCACCACGTTGTGCCAAGAAATCTGCAGGACAATCACCTGGCCAACTGACTGGAAGAGATCTATAATTGTTCCCATTCCAAGGAAAGGTGATCTGACAAATGCAGAAGTTATTGTACAATATCATTGATATCACATGAAAGCAAGATTCTGCTGAAGATTACCCAAAAGTGACTAGAACAACACAATAACAGAAAACTCCCTGAAGTTCAGGTTGGGTTTAGAAGAGGTCATGGTACTAGTTAGTGATAGTATAGCTAGTGTTAGATGGATCTTTGCTGAAAGCAGGAAGTACCAGAGGAATGTATATCTGTGTTTCATTGACTATACATTGTGATTGGATCACAACAAACTATGGCTGACTCTGGGAAGCATGGGAATCCAGAACACTGACTGTGCTTATGCAAAACCTATACTTGGACCAGGAGGTAGTCATTAGAAGAGAGGAAAAAAAAAGACTGCATAGTTGAAAATTGGGAAGGGTGTATGCCAGGGATGTGTCCTATCTCCATACCTTTTCAATCTATATGCAGAACTCTATGAGAACTCTTGAGGCTGAAATCCATGAGAAAAAATGTAACATTATGATTGGAGGAAGACTCATCAAAAATATGCATTATACAGATGACACAACCCTGCTTGCTGAAATTGAGGAGAACCAGAAGCACTGGTTCAGAAGGTCAAGGACTGCAGCCTTCAATAATGATTGAAGTTCAACATCAAGAAAATAAAGATTCTCACCACTGGGCCAACTTTGTAGCATCATGATAGATGATGAAGAGATTGAGATTATTAACAGCTTTAGTCTGTTTGGCTCCACAATCAACACTCTTGGTACTAGAAGCCAGGAAATTAAAATATTAATTTCACTGGGAAAGTCTCCTGTCAGAGACCTCTCCAAAGTACTGAAGAGCCACAATGTCAGTCTGGAGACTAAGGTATGCCTGATACAGGCTACAGTCTCTGCAATTAACTTGCTATGCATCAGAAAGCTGGACAATGACTAGGGATGACAGAGGAGAATTGATGCCTTTGAGTTGTGGTGCTGGAGAAGAGTATTGAATATAACGTGGATGGCTATAACAAACAAGTTCATCCTAGAGAGCGTGATACCAGACTGCTCCTTGGAGGAAAGTATTCTGAAGTTTCATCTGACGTACTTTGGACATCTTGCAATGTGAGACGAGTCATTCGAGAGAGACGTCATGCTTGGGAAGGTGGAGGGACAGACAAGAGAGGAAGACTCTCAGTGAGATGGATTGACTCAGTGACCGAGGTAATGTGGGTAGGTATGTCAGAGACAATAAGATTAACACAGGATAGAGCAGGGATTAGAGATGTCATACATAGGGTCGCTATGAGTCGCATATGAGTCATTGGTACGTAACAACAACAAAATAAAAAAATATACTTTATGCTCTTCCTGCTTCATTAATTTAACAACAACAACAACAACAAAAAAAAGCAACCCAACTCTCTCCCAAATAAAATAGTAACTACAGAGGTTAGGCTTTATAGCATACAATTCTGGAAACTCAATTCAATCCATAACACTTATTCCAAATGGACTCCTCTCAATTGTAAAAGAGGAAGTAAAGATGAATAAATAGGTAGACATTTTTCTAATATCATAGTATGATTACCAAGTCAGAGTGGATCCCAGTTTTACTGAATACTTACTGTACAAACTTGGTATTAGAGTTGCAGGCACTGGTATTACATCCTACAAACCCTACCAGAAAAGATAGAAATATAAAAATTTTCAAACTTATCTCTGTTACAATTTTCAATGAAATGTCCCATAATTCTTTAAAGAAGCAATTCTGTCCCCAACTACCAGCTGTGCTGACCTGTGGAGTTGCAAAGCACATAATTTCCAAGAAGTTATCCTTGAGGTGACTCTTGGAAGTCTTTTTAGAGTCTAAGGAAGGTCTTGGTAAGGACTGAAGGAAGAAGATCTGAGTAAAGGAGACATGTGGAGATTCTGGTCACAGTCCTCAAATGCTCAGAACAGTAGATTCTGATGAAGAATTTGTGAATAAATAATAGGACCCTTAAGAAAGAATCCCAAAGAAAATATGCATCAAATATTCCCAAAAGAAAAAAATTGGGTAAGTCAGTCCCCCTGTGATGTTTACCTAGAAGTTGTTATAGGATGAAAGAAAGATCATCCTCTGTAAGAATTGATTTGATTTAAAGAGTTGTGCTTCTTAAAGCCCTAGTAGTCTCTAGTACACTAAAATCACTGGAGAATATTTATCAGGTAGCAAGCAGTAAGTAAGCAGAACCTCGAGAGTTCTTCTTTCACATTACAAGTGTACTAACCTGGTAAAGGGATCAAAACCTTCTTCACGTTCTCTGCAACAAATATTATTTCTACTGCATCATTCATGCTCCTTACTCATTTTAATTATATTGGAATTTTTAGCTTTCTCCTAAAAGTGCTTTCTAGATCCAAGATACTTCTCTACTTATACTTCATACTGCTGGAAATGACAGCTTTCCAGAGACTTCTTTACTATTCTCTAGGGCTACCACGTGTAACTAGCTCTCAACATGAGGGCCTCTGGGACAAAAGATTAATGCACAAGAAAGTGTAGTAGATCATCTCTATTTCTTGAATGGCTTTCCTCAGCTTTGTAGCCTCATTGCTGGGCTCTGGAATGCAATCCTAGAATTGTTGCTCCTGCCTGGATTACTAGAGGATTTCAATAATGAAAGAAGTTCCATCACACATAGTTTTCTGCATACTTGCTGAAATAACACAATGGTGTTGTTATATACTATTAAGCTGAAACTAACTCAGAGCTGACATTGCAGCAAATTTACATAAATAGTTAATCTTACAGTAGAAGAATGACCATCTTTCTTTCCCAGCGCAGCTGGTGGATTTGAACTGTAAGTCTTTGGGTTGGCAGTGCAACTAAGTCAACAGACACAATATCATCTGTCACTAAATCACTAGACTAAATATTGCGTCTAATTTTATCTTAACCTCTTCTTTCAAGATTTTCCGTCCAACTTCTTCTTACAATTTCTACTAAACTCACTACTCAAGGAATGTAATTAATATGGCCCTACCAGGATTTCAGTCTGTTCTGAACATCTTCTCTTCCATTATTGTCACTTCTATCTCAATCTTCACCATATTCACTATTATGTAAATGATGATTCAACTATTGTTTATTGAATGCACGTTTCTTCCATGGATCCCTTTTGTTGTTGTTGTTGTTGTTGTTGGGTGCCACAGAATCAACTCCAAGTCATAGCAGCTCTGGATACAGCAGTTGGAAGCCTTGTCCTGTCCTTTACCAGCCTTAAAATCTCTGCTGTTCTCATTGTTAAATTGTTATGGCAATTGAGCTTGTTGAGGGTCTTCCTCTCCTTCTCTGACCTTTCCAAACATGTGTACCTTTTTTTAGGTCCTTTCCTGTTAACAGAACTAAATTATTTGAGACCAAGTCTCACTATCCTTTCCTCTAAGAAGCATTCTGGCTGCACTTTTTCCATGACAAGTTTCTTGGGGTTTTTTGAAGTCCATGGTATATTTAAAGCTATTTGGCCACACTTCAAAAGAATCTATTTTCTTTTTTGGGAATAAGTTCTTCTTCAGCATTCCTTATTCACTGTCCAATTTGCACATATGAATCAAGTGGCAATACCATGGCTTCGACTAGGCAGACTTTAATCCAGTTGTATTTTTGTTTTCTTGATGTTGCAGTGTAATCCATACCAAAGGCTTTACTCTTATTCAGTAAGTGCTTCAAGTCTACCTTCTGTAAACAAGGATGTGTCATTCATTTTACAAAGCAGATTTTTGCTGAGTGTTCCTCCATTTCTGATGCCACATTCTTCATATAGTCCGTATCTTTACTTATTGCTGAGCATAAAACCTGAATATGTATAGTTAAAGAATACAACTGTAACAAATGTTTTCCTTTTGTTTTGTTTGCAAAACTGCTGGTTCCAAATGAGCACAATCAAATGTTCTGGAATTCACATTCTTCTCAATGTAATCAGTAGCTTACTATAATCCACACAGTTGAATGCCCTTACAATGTTTATGAAACACAAGTCTTTCTGGGATTCTTTACTATCAAGTCAAGATCATCAGCAATGATATCCTTCATTCCATTACCTCTCCTGAATCCATATTGAATTTCTGGAAGTTTCCTATAAATGAAAACCCAAATATGACCTTCAGTTTAATCTGACCTGAATTTTAAAACTATCTCAAGAACAGATATGAGGAATTGGACACTATGATCAAAGACTAGATGAGTTGTGGGATGACATCAAATACTTCATTCTTCAATAAAGCAAAATGTTATTATAAAGACAGGTATGAAAGAAAAGGCTGAAATGAGTGTCAGAAGAGACTAAAAATTACACTAGAGTCAAAAGGCAAAACAAGAGAGAATTCAGCCACTTTTTCATAATCTCCATCAGATATTATTGAATATAATATTACTGACACTGTTTGATAATTTCTCCATTCTGTTAGGTGACCTTTTTATTAAATGGGTGCAGATTTAAATATCTTCCTGCCATTTGGTCAGATAGCTGTTTTCCAAATTTGCAGAACTGCATCTGTGTGCTAAAACACCTCATTTAGTATTTTATCCATTTCTAGAGCACTGTTTTTTTAGTTTTGTTGTTGTTCTTTTTTTTTTTTAATATCTTGTTTTGAACAATATGTCAGCAGAGGACTGCCAGATGTGCAGGCTGGATTTATAAGAAGTCATGGTACTAGGGACATTAGAGCTAATGTTAGATGGATCTTGGCAGAACGCATAGGATACCAGAAGAATGTGTATCTGTGCTTCATTGACTATATGCAAAGGCTTTTGACTGTGTGGATCACAAGCAGCTATGACTGACTCTGGAAAGAATGGGAATCCCAGAACATTTGATTGTGCTAATGCGAAACCTATACATGGACCAAGAGGCAGTCGTCAGAACAGAGCAAGGAGACACTACATGGTTCAAAATCAAGAAGGGGGTCCATCAGGGATGTATTTTGTCTCCATACCTTTTCAATCTGTATGCAGAACAGATCATCCAAGATGTTGGGCTGTATGAGGAGGAATGTGGCATCAGGATTGGTGGAAGAGTCATCAACAACCTGTGTTATGCAGATGACACAACTCTGCTTGCTGAAACTGAGGAGGACCTGAAGCACTTGCTGCAGAAGGTCAAGGACTGCAGCCTCCAATATGGATTGAGGAACAACATCAGGAAAACAAAGATTCTCACCACTGGGCCAACTCACAGCATCAGTATGGATGGTGAAGAGATTGAGGTAGTTAACAGTTTTAGTTTGCTTGGTTCCACAGTCAACACTCTTGGTAACAGCAGCCAGGAAATCAGGAGACGAATTGAATTGGAAAAGCCAGCTGTAAGGGACCTCTCAAGAGTACTGAAGAGCAATGACGTCAGGCTGAAGACTAAGGTGCACCTTATCCAGGCTATAGTCTTTGCCATTACATGCTATGCATCGGAGAGTTAGACAGTGAATAAGGATGATAGAAGGAGAATGGATGCCTTTAAGCTGTGGTGCTGGAGAAGAGCGTTGAATATACAATGGACTGCTAGGAGAACAAACAGGTTTGTCCTGGAGAGGGTGAAGCCAGAATGCTCCTTGGAGTCAAGGATTCTGAACCTTCGTCTGACATACTTTGGGCATGTTGCAAGGAGGTGACTGGTCCTTGGAGAGGGACATCATGTTTGGGAGAGTGGAGGAACGGCGCAGGAGAGGAAGGCCCTCAATGAGATGGAGTGATTCTATGAGTGGAGTGGTGGGAATGAGTGTGTTTGAGACAGCGAGATTGGCACAGAATAGAAGATGCTTCCTTGATCATTGGATGTTTTTCTCTGTATTGCAACTCAGGCCTTGAATTTTTTTTCCAGTTCTTTTACCTTAAGAAATGATGAGCACGTTTTTACCCTTTTATTTTCCAACTTCACCTTTTTGTACATTCCATTATGATGCTTGGCTTTGTCTCCTCAAGGTGCCTTTGAAATTTTCTTTTCATCTCTTTCACTTTAGCATCTCTTCCCTTTGTTTTGGCTTCTCAACACTCTAGTGCAATAGTCAATCTCTTTTGACACTCATTTCAGCCTTTTATTTCACCTCTGTCTTTGTAATAATATTTTGCTTTATTCAATGATGAGGTCTTTGATGTCATGTCACAATTATTTTTTGATCATTAATGTTCAGTTCCTCAAATCTATTATTGAGATAATTCGAAAATTCAGGAAGGATAACCTGATGGTCGTTTTTAGTTCTCATCTGCTTGTTATAATTTTCCTCAACTTCAGTTGATCTTGCACATGGCTTATTGATGTTCCATAGTCAGAACCTAGCCTGGTTTTGACTGATGATACTGATCTTCTCCAACAATTCTTTCCACAAATGTAGCCAAGCTGATTCCTGTGAAAACCATCAGGTGAACTCCATGTGTATGTTGTTGTCGTTGTTATGTGCCGTCGAGTCACTTGCGACTCATAAGGACCCTATGTACAATAGCCCTAAACTCTGCTCTGTCCTGTGCCACCTTCTCTGATACACCCATCCCAATTACCCCAGTCACTGAATCAATACACCTCATAGAGGGCCTTCCCCTCCTGCACTGTCCCTCCACCTTACCAAGCATGATGTCCCTCTCTAAGGACCGGTCCCTACTTACAACATGTCCAAAGCATATTAGACGAAGCCTCATAATCCTTGCCTCCAAGGAGCCGCCCAGTTTAACCCTTTCCAGGATGAATCTGTTTGTTTTCCTAGCAGTCCATGATACCCTTAACACTATTCTCCAGCACCACAGCTCAAAGGCATTAATTCTCCTTCTATCCTCCTTAGTCATTGTCCAACTCTCTGATGCATAACAAGTGATAGCAAAGACCATGGCCTGTATCAGATACACCTTAGTCTCCAGAGAGACACCATTGCTCTTCAGTACTTTGGAGAGGTCCCTAACAGCAGACTTTCCCATGGCAATGTTGTTGTTAAGTGTCGCCGAGTCGCAGGCGACTCATAGCAACCCTGTGAAGGAGAGTCCTTAACGCTTGGGTGTCTATCATCCTCTCTCCAGGTTCATAGGGTTTCCGGAGGCAAGCTATTACAGAAGTGGATGCTACTCCTCCTTCCAAGCTTGTTTTCATTGGGGAACTCCACCCTACTCTCTGTCCACATTGGGTAACCAACCATTAATGCATTTGACACATCAGTGTCACAGTGTTCAGCCTCACAGCAACCACAAGTGACCGCTGTATGGCAACTTGTACATGAGAGCTGTATGACCTAGAGGAATGTCTGAATAAAAACAATGAAACACAGGCCTGAGGACCATGGATTAAAAGTCACCCACCTTTGGCTTGGTAACATCACTT